CACTAATATTTAAATAATTTATTCACCATATTAATTAAAAAATCTTTGGAAAGCATTAATTAATAGCTACATAGTTCAGTGTCATATACATCTACTTGTTGTAATTCTAACGTTACCTCGTAGTGTCTCATTTGTTTGGGGCCTTTGTGTTTCTTCATATCTTTGGCTGCTTTATCTTCTTTTGATGAACAATATGTATTTATTGTTTCTTTTTTTTTTTTTTTTTTTTAGAGGAGAGTCTCGCGCGTGGTGTCCCAGACTGGAGTGCAGTGTCGCGATCTCGGCTGCACTTGCAAGCTCCGCCTCCCAGGTACGTCCCGCATTTCCTGCCCTCAGCCTCCGAGTAGCTGGACTACAGGCGCCGCCACACGGCCGCGGCTAGTTTTTTGCTATTTTTAGTAGAGGACGGGTTTCCCCATGTTACCAGGATGGTCTCGATCTCTGACTCGTTGATCCACCGCCGCTCGCGCGGGCCTTCCAAAGTCTGGGATACAGGCTTGACGCCCACGCGCCCGGCCTGTATTTATTTTTCTTATCTGTGGGCACTGGAATATTAAATATGGTTAAAACAGTTTCTATAGTGGGGGCCCGGTGGTGAGTGGCTGGTGGCTCACGCCTGTAATCCCAGCACTTTGGGAGACAGAGGTGGGCAGATCACAAGGTCAAGAGATTGAGACCATCTTGGCCAACATGGTGAAACCTCGTCTCTACTAAAATTACAAAAATTAGCTGGGCATGGTGACGCACGCTTGTACTCCCAGCTACTTGGGAGGATGAGGCAGAAGAATTGCTTGAACCCAGGAGGCAGAGGTTGTAGTGAGCCGAGAACGTGCCACTGCACTCCAACCTGGACAACAGAGCAAGACTCTGTATCAAAAAAAAAAATTCTATAATGAATATACATACATAAAATATAAGAAGAGGATAATGAAGTCAAAGAGGTAGACCATTATCAAGGTTCTGCTATACTGCTTTCTAAAATTGTGGATCTAGTTAAACACCATATTCTCATTCCATGTCCCCCACAAGCATGGAATACTATCATTTGTTTGAATATTTGATAACTGAAAGGTAAATGTGGCATCCCATTATTATAACTTGTACTTACAAGGAAAGTAATTTAAATAAATGGAAGCATGCCACATTTTTAATTGAAATGTATTAAAAGATCATTTTATCTGATCATTAAAAATACATCCAGACTGGTCAACACAGTGAAACCCCGTCTCTACTAAAAATACAAAAAATTAGCCAAGAGTTGTGGTGGGCATCTGTAATTCTAGCTACTTGGGAGGCTGAGGCAGGAGAATCGCTTGAACCCAGGAGGTGGAGGTTGCAGTGAGCCGAGATTGCACCATTGCACTCCAGCCTGGGCAACAAGAGTGAAACTTCATCTCAAAAAAACAAAAAAAAGCACATCCTGACTTTCAATCAGTAGTAAATACATGATACATACCTCTGAATTTCCTTTGTTCTTAAACGTTTTATTTTACTTATTGCTACTTTTTTAAAAAATAGAGATGAAGTCTCACCATTTTGCCCAGGCTGCTGTCGAACTCCTAGGCTTAGGCAATAATCCTTTCATCTCAGCCTCCCAAAGGGTATTGTTACTTTTAAAAATCAGAGTTAGAGATGTCGTTGGTTTGGTCCACAGAAAAGGCAGACTTTTTACTGCATATCCAAAATTTGCAACTGAGTTCAAATAATTCCATTTTATAGCTGAAAACTCTATTTTTAGACACCGAAATTTAATTCATTAATAGTCACAGTAGTCTCACACTAGCTGGAATTATTGTTTTTTATCCTCAAAACTTGTCTTAATTTTGCTTTACATTTATGGCATTTTATTTTTATTATACATTGTTTTCCAAAGTATTGAATGCTATATTCTTATTTTTTTTTAACTCAAACCTAATTGTTGGTAGGCTTCTACAAGCATTTTGCATTATCATTCAAGCTAATTGTACTTAAAAACAACAAACAAAGAAAACAGGTATGAGGATTACCAGCTTGAAGGCAGACTCACTCCCTAGAAAAGTGTCCACATACCAACTTCAGCAGGATGTGGGATTTTTGCCATTGACTTTTTTCCATTCATGGTCTCACTTGTGAACAGTGTAAGTGAAATGAGCTGGTTGGTGGTCTGCGCCTGTCCGGTCATTGCTGGGAAACCGTCAGGATTACAATGGTCCTTTGTTGACTGGCTTGGCAGCAATGCCAGGAGCTGAATGGGCCACAGAGACTGAACCAGTTACGACGACTGCTCTGTCCTCTCAAACAACCAGAAGCCCTCCCCATCTCTTAGCCCAACCACCCTGAGATGACAGCCTGGATGTGGAGATGCTCCAGTTGCCCCCACCAATATGCTGCACCAAACGGCTCAATGGAAAATTCTGGCTTTCTGGTGGTCACTCTCAAATTCAGGAGGAACGCTAATCTCACCAGAAACTTGCAAAAGAATGTAGAAAAGCCAGATAAAAAGTAAATCACACAAAAAAACACGGGTATAATGGTGTGCTAATCAATCTCACTGAAATCGCCTGGTGATTGTTAGCTAAATAGCTGAGAGGAGGGAGAATAAAAGATGAAAAAAGAAACAAAAATCAGAAAGAAAAAAAAAAACAGAAAAAAAAAAAAAAAAGGCTCCTGGAGGCAGGCAGCCCAAAAGTCTGATCTGACCAATTTAGGTCATAGTGATTTTTTATTTGTTGATTTTTGTCGTATTAGATCTCCGAGAGCCTAGATTTTTAACTTCACATGCAGCCCCTACTGACAGAGAGAAGGAAACTGAAGATGATGAAGCAGGTAGGATAAAAAGATGATTAAATATAAAACAAGTTGCTTTCTCTTCTAACAGCTTTCTGCTCACCCAGGCTTCTGGTTTTATTTAAAAAGGCACTGCCTTTGGAAACACATAGGGTCTTTTCAATAGGAAAAGATCAAATGATGTTAATCAGGCCATGAGGTCTAATGCTTTAATGCAACTGTCTCTTTACATTATACACATTCCAGTTCTATAAGGCGGAATGATTTTTATCCTAGCATTTCTTTTTTCTCCTCTTCTCTTCCTCCCCCTCCTCCTCTTTCTCTGTCTCTCGCTTTAAATCTTAAGTTTGACCAATCCGTACAGAATATGCTTTATTCTGTAATACTTCCTTTCCAACCCCCAACAAGGAACAATCTATTGTTGTGTCTTACAATGAAGAAAGACAAGATGGTGGGACAATGCGTCCCCCTTCTCTTCTCCACGTTCCTCGCATTTTTGGTTGCTCATTTTGGGCGACATTTCAGTGCACTGCACGTAGCCCAGGCTTCTGTCTTCTCATCACCTTTTCTCCTGCTCAGCTATTGGTTCTGCCTGATAGATTCAGTTCCGTTTAACTACAGATGTAAATGCATTTACAGCTGTTCTCAATAGCTTTTTTTCAGTCAGTCTTTTCTTCAAGAACACAATCATCATAGTTTGAATTCTGTGGCATGTTAAGCCTGAAGATGCAAAAATTGAGGGGTTAGGGGAGAAGATGCATAATGATTGTCTTCAGATATTTGACCTGCCACCCTGTTGATGTAGGATTAAACTTCTATAGGAATATAGAGCTATTGGAGCAGTGATTCTGGAAGAGGGGCATGTGGTAAGTAGAGTCACTTGGGGACTTCCTCAGGTTATAATCTCTTTCTCTGCTGAGATGCTAATATCCCTGCTGTAGAGTGCCTCTGTTACAATGGGAATGTGATCTATTTCTTAGGGGCATTAGGATGGAAAATTTCAGAGAACTAGGGAAACGGACTATAAATTCCATAAGATCAGGTAAACTACATGTAACTTCCTCGTCTTTTTGTTCCTAAGCCCTCACAGGGACTGGCACATGGCAGATGCTCAAAAAAATCTTAAAGTATTGTCCTGTTTATGAGTTAAAATAAAAACTTCAGGGAAACAAATTTTGTTTTAATATAAGAATTATCTAATAGTATGAAGCATTGTCCGAGGTGAGTTGTCATGACAGACAGAAACTGGGGGTACTGGTATATCCATAGAGAGTTGACCCGATCTATGGGACTAACAGAAGGGCAGCCAGTTTGTCCCCAGGCCAAGAGAAAACCCTAACATGTTTTATTTCGTGGCCATGAAAAGATTCATGATTTGGAGGGTATAAAGAGATGCATGCTGTCATATCATCAGTTTAAATCAGGCAAACAAATCCTTATGCCTTGCTTTCTGAGGATTCTGTTAAATTTGAACTAGAGTTTATTAAATCCTAAAGTTTAAATTTCTATGTATAATAATTTGGGGTTTATTACTAAGAATAATACTTGTACATTTGAAAGTCTCTGCGTACTTGGGTCTCTTTCTCTAGAGCTGGTACATATGAATGCTGGTACATATCAGCACAAAGATGCCTTCCGCCTGCAGACAGCAAAACCTTTTCACCTCACCTCTTTGCCATAGTAATTTGGAAACCAAATTTTGAAATAAGCTTGATAGTGGCGCACAAGAAAAGTCCAACATTTTCTTGAAACATTGGAAGTCTTTTGAGGTTTTGCCCTCTTCCTCTTCCTTTTTCCTGCTCCTGTGTAATTCTGAACGACATTCATCATCCAAGGGAATGCAGTACGGTGATAATCATTTTTTGATATCAATGTGTTGCGCAGTCATTTACACTGAACATCTGTGGCCTATTATAAGGAAGTCATAAAGTGGGAAGCCTCAGTGCCCACACAGGGCAAGACCGTCAGTGTTGATGTGAAGATATTTTGGTCAAGAGCGCCACCTCTCAGCAGTGAATCAAACTGGCCCCCTATGGGCCAAAATCCGAGGAACCATTGGCCAGTGGAAGAGTGAATCATCTAGTCACTAGTATTTTCTCATTGCTCTTCACTCAATTACTTTTGTATTAAACAGTGGGAAAGTGCCTGAGACTGTACATTGCGTCTGTTTTAGTGGAAGTACACAGGAGGTGGATAAACCTGGGCTCTGAAAAATAGCCCTGAGTTTTCCGTGTCAATAGTTTTGCACTATCTATGAATCCACTACTAAAAGAGGGTAATAGAAAATTCTTAGCTACTTATTTAAAAATGTAGATCCTTACAGAGTAAAACAAGTCTTCAAACTTTATCAAGGTTAAGAATTATTCCTTAGCATTTTAGAGATCTTTGAGTTCTTCTAAGCCCTTTGTGTTATCGGTGAGGAATGTGGGGTTCAGAGTGGTGCAATGACTTTCTACGACACCCCTGTTGACTCCCCAGCCACTGACTGCTGCCCTCAGGCCCTTTCCTTTGAACTCTTTTCTTTGGATTCCCAGGATTTTACAGCTTGGAGGATACCGGAAAATTGAGACTAAATAAAAACTAATTGTGATATCTTAGACTGTATCTAAATAGATATTTTATCTTTATACATTTGTTGTATGTGGCTAGTGCTAATAAAGTACAAACCTCTCTATCCATAACACACACAAAACACAGATGTTGATTTCTGAATAAACTTATGTAAATCACTGCACATGTGTCTGAATTTATTCATGCAAAAATTTTGAAAAAGCAGTTTTAGATTCTTCCTTATAGGGAGCTTTTAAGTGATTTAAAATATACACCTGTATGTATTAATATGATTTGATGTTCATATAACATTTTCTAAGTAACTTGCCTTCTTATTTATTTATTTTTTTCCTGAGACAGGATCTCACTCTGTCACCCAGGCTGGAGTGCAGTGGTGCGATCTCGGCTCACTGCAACCTCTGCCTCCCGGGTTCAAGCGATTCTGCCTCTGCCTCGTGAGTAGCTCGGACTACAGGCATGCACCACCATGCCCAGCTAATTTTTGTGTTTTTAGTGGAGATGGGGTTTCATCATGTTGGCCAGGCTGGTCTCAAACTCATAACCTCAAGTGATCCACCCACCTCGGCCTCCCAAAGTGCTGGGATTATATGTGAGAGCCACTGCACCTGGCCACTTGCCTAACTTTTAACAGAAACTTTTGGAGATAATGTCATGTTTTGAGTGACATGGAGGAAATTTTACCTCTTTTTTTTAATTTTTTTATTTTTTTTTTACTATAAAGTGGTGTTGCTGTCACAGGAGAAAGGTAGTAGGCTGAGGATGAGAACATTTAGGTTCAAGTTCAGGGCCAACCACTTAGTAGCTCTGTGGTTTAACCTAAGTCACTTAAACTCTCCTGGGAGGTGTGTGTGTGTGCGTGCATACATGTTAGAGGGCAAGTGTGATAATAAGAATATCTAAACTGCCTTTCTCATTGGATTGTTCTTACCATCAAATTCAATAATGTACTTGAAACTTCTTTGAAACATAAATCAAGTTTAAGATAGTATTACGATGACCAGAGCATTTGCTCACCACCATGTAGCATGCCAAGTGGAGGCAGTGTATTTAAAGGTTAAAAGTCAAGCTCTTTGACCTGCCAATTTGGATGGAATCCCAGCTTCACCACTCACTAGCTGTGTGACCTCTGGTGAGTGCTAAATCTGCCTAAGTTCAACATCCTGATGGAATATGAATGTAGTATTCTAGATACCTTGTTGGGTTGTTATAAGTACAGTGATGCATGCAAGACACGGGAGGCCAAGCCCATAACACATCAATGTTAGTTTGTCTTCACATTATGAGATTCCTGGCTCTTGCTTTTCCTATGGTTCTCGGGGATAATCAATCTAGGAGAGTTTGACCTGTTATCCCTTGAAATATTTACTTAGATCTCCTTTACTTATTTACAGAGCTAAGATGTCACCTCAAATAACATAGAACAAATTAATGTGTCATGAAACAAAATCATCTTCTCTAAAGATTCAAGAGTTTGAGGGCTAAACCTGAGAATATGTATTTTTTATTCTAACTTCCTCACTCTCATCTTCAGAGCTCTGTCCCTTTCAGAAAAATTCTACTTCAAGAGAAGATTTGGTTTCAGGATGTCTCCTGGACTGGAGACATGTACCTAATAAGTGTCCTCAATAATTTCAGACCCTTTATAAACTTTATGGATTTCATACATAACTCATTTTTTTTTTGTATTACAAACAATTTGGTTCATTTACTCTATTTTCCCTTTCTGATTTTGAACTTCACAAAGGGTTAGACTTTTTCTGTCTTTTCTCACTATACTTAATATTTATGTCACATGAATGATTTAAAGATCATTAATGCTCTGACATTGCGTAAGCTTGGACTCCTGTTGTGTCTCACTTCCACTCTCGTTGGGTATCTTTGAAAAGTTTGCTTTAATTCTCTGAATCTCAGCTTTTTTGCTCACAAAATGTAGGCAACCTTACAGAGTGCCGATGAATTTGGGAAATAATATCTGGAAAGCCCCCAGTATATAAACAAAAGCCTTCAATTAAAGCTCACTATTTTTTACAAATATAAAAAATCAGGCTTTCGGGGATTGTTGCAGGAAAAAAAGGCCAAGCGCAGTGGCTCATGCCTGTAATCCCAGGACTTCGGTAGGCTGAGGCAGGATGATCGCTTGCGGCCAGGAATTTGAGACCAGCCTGGAAAACATAGTGGGAACTCTTCTCTACAAACAAATTAAAAAGCTCACTATCAGTATTCGTCGTCTTTAAGTTGTCTATTATGGTTATTGCCAGTACGATGGCCTTCATCTCTATGCATATGCCTAAGTATTGGCTCAGATTCCCAACAAAAACATGGGAAAGGAGAAAAAAAAAAAACACAGGGGCATGTTGAAAGCAGATCCCTTTTGCTAAACCCAAATCAGCCAACACAGAACAATAAATGTATTCCGTGGTCCAGAAGAGAAGGCCCGCAGGTTTCGTGAGCCTGATAAAAGAGAACAC